GCAAACGATAAAAATGTGAAGTAGGAAATGCATGCTGAGGATGGAGCCTTTAAATCGCACTTACAACTGACTGAAAAATAATCACACATACTATGCAACTTCATTTTGGGATCATTTAATAGTTCGCAATTAATATAATAGAATGTCAAATGCATTTATAAACCCAAAAAAATCCATTATGCATTGAATCAGCATTTGATTTCGTCCTCTTCAGGTCGTTAGCAGGAAAAAATTCACTACCCACACATTCACACGCATGCATGCACACAAAGCATATAAGTACGTCGAGAGATAAAGTGGCGCCCATTTCAGAACAGTGGAGTGGTCTATGGGTGATGCATTTGGGAACAAGAGGCATTGAAACAGAAAGTCATTCCTCGTCGCGGCTCCCTAGTTCGGTCAGTACACACTTTCCCTCCACGTTCTCATGGAAGGTGAGAGGAGCCAAGGAGTTGATAGTCCTCGGGGCTCACTGTCACCTCTTAATGCACGGCAGTTCGAGCCCATTTGCTGAGCACCACACGCGTCTTGCTGGTGGATGCTGGTGCGGACAAAATGCGCTTCTTCACTCGTATTGGGCATTGCTACGTCTTCTTCTCGCCCTACTGATCGCAAATACACGAACCATTACTGGCACGCATTCCCTCAACCCTACTGTTAGCATTATCAGCACTGTTGTTGAGCAGAGTGGGTTGGACAGTGGGTTGGCGGAACTGCATCGTTGCGATCACTAGAAGTGGTGGTGGTGGTGGTGAAACAGATTCTCTAGTTGAACCATGTAAAAGCCGAGTTAATTTATTTTATTAAATGTATTCTATTGTCACTTATGTTACGGTCTCTACTTAAGCGCTTTCTGTTAGATACTCCTCAAATGAAGGGGACATAGGTCATACAAATCTAAACAAGGCGTTTTAGGTATAGGAGCGTATAAAAGGAATGTAGTGTTCTCCATTATAATAGCATATGGTTGTTCTAATCCCAATTAAGTAGTGCGAATAGATGAGCAATAAACATTGTGATTAATCCAGTGGAAAAAACACCTATTAAATTAAAAATACAATACAATTCACCCAATTAGTTAACTCACAAAGCCTGAGAGCGTTGCTTAGGTAAAAAGTGGACATTGCTTTTGAGCCTTTCAATTGTTTCACAGGTCTGCCCCGATGGCATTCAGTGCGCGCTGCAGGAGTCACATAAAGTAGGACACATTAAACGTTCGTTTGTCTGGCAAACGCTAAAAGGAAGTCATTTATGAAGTTGTTCTTTTTAAACGGAAAAAACCGAATGTCCTTTAGTAGGCTTGCTTTATGTGTTTGCATTTTTTTGCCTTTAAACCGTCTTTAAGCAAGTTGAGTCATTCGAGAACAATCCTCTTATGCCATCAAATGCGTTAACATCAACTGCAAAGTCAGTACTTAAAATATTCCAGCTATCAAATATGGAATCAAAATGGAACATTTACGCAATGCAGTACAGAAATATATTTACACAGAGCATCATGAGTTGAAAAGTTTCATCTCAACAAAACAATGTCCAGTACTTCCCGGTCCACATGCTGGAAATGCACAAATAGGTGAAACGCAAACATAGATCCATCAACTAATTAACCAGTGGATCGATGTAGACACTTCTTAAGATGATCACAACTAAATATTTGGCTTCCAGAAACCTGTGTTAATGAATGATCTTTGCATCTTTTGCTTGCTTTGGCGTTAGTGTTGTCAAAGCCTCTGAGTTGGTGTGCTTCTGTCGAGCATTCCGCACGAGTTTATCCTTCTCGATTGGTGGTGGTCGAATGTTTGGAATCCCAAGTGTGCCCTTTTTCACCTTACTTCGGCGTAGATGCTTGAGAGGACGAATGAAACCAGAATCCGTCTCTTCTTTTGTCTTACCGGTCCAGCAGCATACTTTGTGCGTCAAATTAGCCAGCATTTGTTTGCAATTTCGTCGAAAACGCCTGCCGATTAAAATATAGATAAAAAAGTTGCTTGCACAGCCCACAAGCACAAGTACAAGAGCAGCTGGGTACGCGTAGTAGGAGAGATGCTCAGAGGTGACAAAAATTAATGAATTTTCAACACCTGTCATTTTATCTTCATTTGCTTTGCAAAGGCGATAGATGAGATTCACCATTTCAAATAGGAAGCACACTGTCGTGGGCGTTTCGCAAATTATAAAAATGGTCACAACACCAATCAGTGTAAGAAGAATGGTACGGTTGTTTGAGTTCACGGCTCGTTGTCGGATCTCTGGTCCCGGTCTGCTGGTTTCGATTCCGTCAAAAAATGCATTTGTCTGACTCAGGGTTTCCACGGCTACAGGTAGTTCAACTTCTAGGTTATGTGATGGCTTTACCGAGTGATTGCGCCGCAGTCGAATGGATGCATGGAATGCCAGATTTCGAGTAACTGCTGTCCTGTCGATGTAGGAGAGTGTATTGCATTTCGAAGGCGAGGCGTCTGAGTAGCACACATTACTGTTAACGGAAGCATCAGAACTTATGGTTTTGCCTCCTGTCCACTGACCATGCATGTGGCGTTTGGTGAAGCGACGGATACGTAAAATGAGCCCGAGGTTTAGAAAGACAAGGAGACTCAGTGGAATGACGAACGAGCATACCTGGTCCAGCAACTGAACGTAAACCAGCTTAAATGTGGGGTACCATGACGCTGCACTGAAAACAGGCTCAAGCCTGTAGCTCTGACACTCAGCATTCCACTTCAATGTGCAGTAGTCGAATATAAGATTGGGAAGTTTAAAAACTCCTGATAGAACCACGATCACACGAAGTCCACGCTTTGTTCTTCCCACGGAACAGAGTCGAGTGGCTTTCAGTGGCCACCTGATGGCAACATAGCGCTCCAAGCTTAAGAAGATAACAGTGTAGATTTCGATCATTTTAATCCAGTTGACTATGTAAAAGAGAGGTGTATCAATATAGCGTAGATACCCGAGCCAGATTATGTTGTACGTCTCATAATAATGAGCAGCAATGTAGTAAAGACTGTAGGAAATAATTATCAGTATATCTTCAATCGCAAGAGCTGTTAAAAGAATGTGTGTAGGGCTACGACTTGTGATTCGATAGTTAAGGACAGTGAGGGCCAAAATATTTGCAGGGATCCCGAGAATGGCAATGCTGAGGCTAACATGTGTAACGAGATCATGCAAAATTCCGGTTTCGTAGGGGTTTCGGCAGTGTGCAGGCAACAAAGTTTGATTTGTGACGTTTTGCACTGGCGGAAAAGGAGCAATGGAAGTCATTACTGGTCATAAGTCTCATGCAGCTCTATTTATTCTTTCCTTTTGTCGATACAAGAAATAGGGCATAGAATCGTGCTTAGTGCTTAACTCTCATATCAAACTTGTGTGTTGGTTTCGCCACTCAAAAGTCGGGATTCACTGATTGGCTCAGAACATAACTAGTGCCTGCGAAACCAGTTGACCTGCAAATTCGGGCCAATCATAATTCAGCAGTTTCTTTCCATTGTGTACATTGGAAACGCGAGTAATCTATGCTGCTTTTAAAACGAAATTCTCTACTCCATGACTAAATCATATATGGCCTAGTGAAGAAGGAACCAAAATGTTGTCTCTAGCTACCGATTTAACTTTTGAGCATTATTTAGTTTCCACTATCCAGTCCTGCTGCTCCCACCCGATTTACAACCTCTTTCCTTCAACTTAAAGTTTCGCTCTTAAATAAATCATTTCAAGCCATAAATGAGGACACTAGCTTAAAGGCGGACCAACCACTGCTTGTCAACATAGGAATTGATTGTAAATAACTGCATGCAATCCGTCAATTTTTCGCCTTCTTTGTTATTTAACGAGATCATGAGAAAAATATGTGAGACAAAGTCAAGAGACTATTGTGTCGATATTTTTCGACATTCTGTCCTCAAGATTCAAGGCTGAGCACCATGTCTTCCACCTCAATTTAGCTCTGTAGACACTCGTGGCCCCGAATATCACGCTACACTCTGTCAAGGAACTTAGAGGCCTCATACTTGACTTCAACTTAAGGTGATATGAAACTTGATTAACTGGGTTTCAAATGCTAAGCAAAGCGGTATAGATGGTGCCTCATGCAGAAATCGAAATCACAGTAATCCTTGCCCACTGAAGGAAGGAGCTCCTCCATTTAAGTAGTCAAAATTGCAGCCTTATGCGATGAAGGCATTCAAAGATAGGATTCACGGCTAATCCCATGTAACTTGATTACCAGCCCCCAAACTTCCGTCTCCATATGTTAATTAGGTCCCATGGTTTGCCCTCTATGATGTTTCTTTTGTAATTATCTTGGCCAAAAATGCAAAACAATGCATTTTGTGCGAGATGAGCGAGAGATCTTTGCATTCATAACTTCCAGTGATTTAGCTCAGGAATGGGGTTTTCTGATACTCCAGCGGCGATTCCGGTCACCATCTATGCTATTTAAAGCTCAAATATGTTTTACGACATTCTTTTACAGTCTTTCAATCTTAAGAGGTTTGGTATTCAGCACCACCCTTTGAAGCTGTATAAGCTTTTGCGGGCGAGATTCGGGCTAGCACCTTATGCAGAAAGTAGCAAAATTTAGTACAGGCTGTGAAAGCTTACAAGAGGTTTACATTTACAAACCGATCACATACAATCACGTTTGTAAGTATTTCTTGACACGCATACGTGTCATTGGTGAGTACAAATACGGATCTACTGGGGTTCTAAAGCCTAAAAGCATTGTGACTGATCAACAACCCTGAAAATATGTAGTTTCTCAGGAGGCTGACTTTAAATCATTTGGTCACGCTTTAATGGAATCACCCACTTCAACATCCAAGGCAATGCTTAAATGTGTATTTGGCAGTGGACGATATTTTCCCCGATGAAAGTTTTGTACTGATCATTGCCTGACTGCATTAAACAAACATCTTTAATCAGCTATTGTCTGCTGACCTGTAACGGTTCTCTTTGCTCCACAGCGACACAACATCAAAGCAGCTCCCACCAGTTTGAGGCTGTTTTCCTTCAGTTGACGCTTGTTAATAGTTTTGCCACTGTTCACATTGAATTTGAACGGGACAGCGATTCCGCACGGCTCGCATAATCAGGAGTAATTTCTCCAGAATCGGCCACGTACAATAACCGAATTATTAAATGGGTTCTTAAAGTTTTAATGGTGTTTGTTGTTATAGTTTGAAGATGGGCGCTGCAACCATGTAAAAGTAAGGAAAGGCTTAAGCAGATGTGTCTGCTCCTCCAATTTTGCTACATCCCCTTCTTGCTGTTAATAGCTACCTACTTCATTCCCCCTCCCCCCAAAGCAGGGCAGGAGTGGAGCTGTAATAACTCTTCCTTCCGTGGCCATAGGTGCCTTTTTGGATAAAATGTTGAGATTCTTTAAGAGGTCGGGAAACTTGGCTAAAGATAGTCAAGTGTGCTTTTTTTTTCCTCAAAGTCTATATATCACTTTCGAAATTATAATTTTGACCTTATACGATTCTTCGCTTATTGTGTTTTTTTCCAGTCTCCAAACACACAAATGCACAGGTACTAATTCGGTGTGGATGACGATGATCGCTGATTGTGGCTGTAGATAAAGCATTGCCTTGATTTTGAACAATACACTGTTCCCATGTTCGGTGGTCTGGCATACATGAATCAGCTGTGCACTTGTGCAGCGGTTTTGTTTCAGACATCATTTTTGCCTCATTAGTGCCCCAAAACAGTGTTGTGTTGCCCAACAATGCGGTGCTACGTGTTGTTGTATAGTAATAATGCTTACAAAGGTGACAGTTGCAGCCGCAAACTTTTTCCCCTGTCGGGCTTTGATGCCTACTACTTACAAAAGTTATACGTACATTTTGCCGCCTGAAAGCTTCCACCGAGGTGTGCATCTGATAGACATCCAAAGTGTCGATTGTCGCATCTAGTCTATCACTTTCTTACCCATCAATCAGACGCTACTGATAGTTTCTAAACTCTACTGAGCTAGTGTAATTGTCCGTTGCATTTAACTTGCACACTTTTAAGAGGATAATGGAACCCTACACAGAACGCAAATAATCTTAGATAGGTGCAACTTCACTTTTACCAGGACCGATTCCATCATCCATCCGGACACTTCTTAACTAAAGTTGAGTGCTGTGGCCTAATCAAATAGTTCTTACTCTACCATAGTGCCTCATTAAGCACTGAATACGATTGTACGCAGTTCGTTAATTTTCCTCGTGCTTCGTGCATTTACTTCTGACTGTTTATGATCGGTGGGTAATTACTAGGCAATTGCTAGCCTCCACGTGACAGTGGAGTAGTGATGGACTATTGCTGACTGTTACCAATAGAAAGTAAGGTAAGCCTGCTAATGAGCCTCCTCAAAATGCAAATTACCGGCACATCTTTTCGACTGAGGAAGCTTAGAATGTCTGAGGGATGTAGAATAACACCTTCGAATGTCAACAATGCTCAGTAACATAGAACAAAAGTATGCATATTTGGTGATAATTTAAATGATACCGTGCCTTTGGCATAGTTTGCCCTAAATATTTCCTTTTCTATTTATACTTTGCAACTGCAACCGCAGGGTATAATTAAACACCACCTAATTCCTGGAGAACGACAAGAGCTACTTTGCAAATTCTTTGCTGAATCAGTTGAAGCATATAAATGAGGCGCCTTTATAGGAACGTCGATACTAACACCAATGGTGCGTCAGTTCAATTTGAGTAAAATCCACCCTCTAAGGAAAGCACTGTCATTTGCTTCGTTCTCGCTGCGGTCTAATTTTACGTGCGATCCCTCCGACCTAATATTAAATTAAATTTAGGCTCATATCGTTGTCAGTAAGTCTAAAACATTTTCAAAGTGCTGATGAGGTAGATTTTCTGGTGAAAAACACCGCTACTAAAATCGCTCTTTTGATTCGCTTTTGGTTAATCAGCCTGTTTATCAACTATAAATCCTGCTAAATGATTTTATTTGTGTTCTGGAAATATAACTCCACTTCATTACTCCGCAAATACGCATGATAATAAATACAAACCTCAGAATTGTCTATTTTTGACATTAAATTTAAAAACTACCCAATTCCTATTTGTAATTGCGGGTGCGGTTAAAGTGCGTTACCTTTGAGGTAGCAAACCACTCGGTGCTTCTGTGAATAGCAGTCATCTTTCCACCTATTTCTCATTCATTTTTATCAGTGCATCTTGCTAACCCTTCACATATTTATAATGCTTTAACCATTTAAGAGTGTTCCTATTCCAAGCATAATTTTTTTTATAAGTGGTTTTGCTACACTTAATTTTTGTGTATGTACGCGTACGAACCCACTGAAGTTCTTTGTGGTGCTAATGCGTAGAAAAATAGGAACTAAATTCAGTGAGACCACTCTTGCAGATGCCATAAAGACCCTCCAAGTTTTATTAAAAATGCGATTTTTTAGAGATCATACGCAAACCCTATATTTGACTATTATGAGCCTTGATCTTGTTCAGTGCTCTTTGCTTGTGAGGAATCATCAAGTGGGGAACGCAGTAATCTTGTCTTTACCGCGATGAAAAGCGAACCAATACTCTGCTTCCAGACTTCTATATTTAGTTCGCGTTACTCTCGTGTAATTTAACGTCCTTTCTCTAAACATCCCATGCCACCAATTTGCAAATTAATAAATCCTTCTATGTTTTATAACAATGATCCCTTGCAGCATCTTGAGGCTTTTCTGGAGTCGTCCAGGAGGGTAGAGGACGATTTGTTATTAGCCAATTAAAGGGCTGGGAGGCTATCGACATGGCCCCAAGAGACACCAATAAAAGAGAAGTAAAAGCTTTGGATATAAAAGGAATATGGAGCTCCAAAGTATCATTTCAATAAACTGCATAATGCTACCATCTGTCACCTTTTCAAGCATTGAGAGTCGCCAATTTTACCACCTCCTTTTTTCTAAAATATAGACGATTCAATATAAGATAAGATCTATTTGAATTTATAAGGTCTCTTTAGTACTTTTTACACAAAAGCATCTCATGACCATGTCCTGCTAAAGCAAATTCGCTGGACTTTGTTTTACCGCATAAGTCTGGTAGAACAACGCGTTCATGACTGCAGAATCTCATCGCACTTGGGTCTTCTACATCGCATGACCCATCCGTCGACCAATCTGTCTTGCCATCCTCACCCTCACAAGCATGCAATTGTTCCAACATTCTTTTCGCCTGGTGGTGCATGCGAATATGGCACCCTTCTTGCTCCCTTCTTACATCACAAAACTTCCCACAACTACA